AACAAGAGTGATAGTGGACATGCTGTAAAAAATTTTTTTTTGCGGACAGGTTCCGAATTCATGTTATGTAAGAATAATCATCATTGCGAATTTTGCAGGTATGGCTCATTTAACGAGCTTGGTGAAGGACTAGTAAAATATCTGAAGCTTTCGGATAAAATACTGCAAATCGGTTGTGGTAATTCGATCCTTGCCAGTCAAGTAATATTCGTACTTTTTGATTTTAGTGCCTAGAACTGAAGAAGTTTTGTGTATTATTGCTGTTAGTGTTTTACCAAAGAAAAAAGCTTGTCTTCTTCTTAAAATTTCGAATAACGTTTTTTAGCTTCACGACAACGGGTATAAGCATATTTTGAGTATAGATACAAACGAAAAAGTCATAGCTAACCAGATTAGAGATAATGCCAGAAGAGATGGATTATCGTTTCAGTGCACCTCTGGATCAGAAGTGCGCATTACTTCACGCTAGTTTGTTAGTTATTTTAAATCGGTGTTTGCCGTATTAGCATATAATGTACAAGACGAAGCATATATAATATGCTGTGTCTGTCATCAAATTTACTTTAGACTAATCTAGAGCCTGAAAGCATTAACGTTGTTTTGGATAAGGGAACTCTCGATGCATTACTCCCTCCAAGCTGCAGCGAAGAACACTGTTCTGAAGTGGAAAAGATGTTTGAAGAAGTTGACAGGATTTTGGCTCCATCTGGACGTTATATGATCGTTACATTAGCGCAATCACATATTCTTCGGAAATTTGTTGAAAGCTTCTCTAAGAAGTAGTCTAAATATTACTTTAGCTTGAATCCAATTTATTCTTATTTTCTGTATACGAGAAAAAGGTAGAAGAGGGGTGTGAAAGAAAGCAGATTTGCATTAAGAGGATTGGACCATACTGCACCATGAACTAACTGTAAATGATTTGTCTTCATTGTAAATCTAAAATTTAGGTAACGTTAGGTTTAGGTGTTGTGAAGAATATAGCGTTATTCTGTTTTTAAACTTAGTTTGCTATTTTAGTAAGCGGTTCATGATTCGAGTGCAAAAATTCCCAAGTAACGGTGATTTTTTGATGCCAGTTTTCCTATTGATTGCGACAAAAACTCGTATGGCTCTACCATCTTTGGTTGGTCTTTTGTAACCAAAGTTCTTATTTTACTTCACGTGAAACCAAGGGCCAAATATGTTTTTTACAAGTAAATTTAGGGACTTGGTTTTAGGTACTCGAGTTTTCAAATTCTTTGAACGAAAAGCCACGACGATGTTCCTCCAGCGATACATTGTATTCGTGTGTCAAAGCAGAACAAGAGTACGCTTGGTTTGTACATAAGTGTCGAAGGTACCGCAGTTTCGTCCTTCGCTGTTGGGTTTTAAAATCATTTTTTGATAAGGATAAAGTTATATTCAGATTATAATACAGTAACAGAAGCCTCCACAAAAAACCGTTTTTTCAGCATATTATTGATACTAAATCAACTATTTAGGAAACTGTTGGAGGAAATTAGCTTAGTGATGTGTGACACAGAGGGAAATGAAAAATACAAAATAGTAATCGTCGATGATACTGATGCTGTGAAAATCTCCTCGTACTCAGTTTTCGTTGTTCCAACTGGAAGGTTCCCTTAAAGCGCTCTTCTATTAGAAGCTTACTTGCTGAAAAACATTTTGGCCGAAATTGTATTTGAGCTAGCAACAAGTGAATTCACTGGTTTCAGAGATAATGAGTGGCTTTTTGCCACCGTGAAAGGTCGACGTTTTCTTCGAGCTAAGTGTGGCGTCGACCGCTTGGCCATTGTTTGCGTACACCGTAATCAAACTTATGACAATTTTGAAAGTGTTAAGAAAGATTTAGACACTTTTATATGGCATTTTAATGCAGAGGTTGGAAAAGAGACGGTAATATTTTCCTTAAGTAGCTTATGTTTCTTATTTTGCTGTAAAAGGTTGTGCAGTTTTGGATTTTCTCCTTGGTATATTCTAAAGTGTGGGTGATGAGTTTTATAGAATGACAAGATCTCATATCTTACAATAGATGGCGGCACTCCTGTTCATGTCGTGGCAAAAGGAGAGACAAATGTAAATGGTCCTTGGATTGTCGAAGAAGTCGTTACTAACCAGAAAATGTATAGACGCTTAACTTTCCTTTCCTCGCAAAATCTCTTACAAACAGAAGTACTAGTGAACAGTAAGTTAACTGACTAGTTTGCTCGTTAATTATGGTTTTTAGGTCAAGATAGCTCATAAAAAAACAATCTTGCAAATATTTTGAACCTTACAACTTCAGTAGTATTTTTTTCAAAATTTAATAAATAAGACGTTTTTGAAGTTCATTTGTGTGCTGTCTACGCGGATTTTACAGCTGCAGTAAGTTAGTGAGATTGCTGAAGCAAAATTTTCATAATTGAAGCGACAATTTTGTTTTTTTTTGAAACGCTTTGGGAATCTGAGGATCATCGTCACTGTTTTGCTCAGAACCATTTTATCTCTTAATGATTTTTACTTTCTTTGTTTTTTTTTAGCAAGTATTTTATAGTTAATAAGAAAGGACGGAAGGTTGTAGATTTGGATGTTCTGACTAGTGAATATCATGAAACGATGCTTGCAGCTCTTGCTTTTCTTCCCAAAATTTCTGAAATGTCGAAAGGAAGATTACCCTCTCTAAGGTTTAGTTAATTTCAGCGAGTAAAGTTACTTCAACTTTTTTTTTGCTTTATTTTTGTTCCTACTTTCGTAGCTGAGTTTAATAGTTTTCCCTGCTTGAAATTTTCTGAGGACGTCCGGAACTAAATACGTTTATTATCTCTAGAAACATGATTCTTGTGGGCGACGAAGAAGTATTAGAGAAATTTATAATTGTCTTGGAAGATACACGTTTTGCATTTACTTAGGCGATTGATTTTGCGTATTTGCTAACATACTAAGTTTCTACCGTTCTTTTTCTTTTCAGGATCGCAGTCCTAGGATTAGGTGGAGGTGCTTTACCATCTTTTCTCTGCCGGAACTTTCCTACAGTAAGAATTTTTAGTAAACTTTTTAACTAATTATCATTCGGAGAAGAGGGGTTCAATCATTAAGGTCACTTTGTGCAAATCTGCTCTCCTAGAAGTGGTTTTGATGGAACGGAAAAAACTGGCTTGGAAGTTTGAGATTTGTTTTAGCATAATCATTTTTACGGACGTCAAATTTTTGTGTGTTGAGTTTATTTAGAGAGTTTGGGGATTTTAATCAGGCCGGGATTGATCTCATTAAATAAAAGGTATCTCACTGGTGCTAGAAATATCTTTTCCTTACTGGTTTGAAAATATATTTTTTATTTTAAATTTGTTTGGTCATTAGTTTTTAGGCCTTGCGAAGAAAGTTTGTAGTCAACTGGTTGTGCTAACGTTCAGCCTCTTACATTTTCATGTTTTTGAAAAGCCAGAAGCTTAAGAAGTGACGACTCAGAGTCAGATGCTTAAACCCACGAAACGCTGAAAAACGATGACATTTCAAAAATTCTTTGAAAGGGCAGCGAATTCACACATCAGGCTGTTGAGCGTTAGAAGCTAACATGTCTATTTAAGGGAAAATGTTTCGCAGATTGCCTTTTAAATCTGCTTCAGAAAGGACAAGTGAAATCTTTAAGGCACTACATAGACGGTCAAATTAAGTTAGGCTTTTTGTGGGAAAAGATTTGAGTAATACACTATTTTCAAAGGAAAAATTCATTGCAGTTAGAGTTGTAAAGGTCCCTCTGACTACAAAAAACGGAACAGTCTTCATTTCGAATGCGGTTTTATGCTTTTTATCAAGAGGGAGAATTGATAAGAGCATTCGGTTCAATTTGTACGGGTATTTTTTATGCCTTTCTCATTGTTAAAGGCCTGATATAGCTCTCCCAATATCGTGCCTTCTTCTTTTAATTAGCTGAGGACAGGATAAGGAGATTTCAAAATTTCTTATACTAACAGTGTATAGAACTTAAGGCACTACTCAATGACTTCTAAAGAGCCTACGGTTTTGTGACAGTGCTTTTTCTAATCATTTTAAAATTTAACTTTCTGTTAAAATGTTTGATCGTGCTAATAAATCAAAATGTGTGGTCTGTATTCTAAATTCAATTATTTTAGAAGTGAGACAGATTGTCATTTTTAATCGGGATGCATTCTTTGGAGCTAATGTAGTTAGGTTCAAACTCTTAAAAAATTTCTTTGAGGTTTTGCTGCAAATATTTGAAACCGATTGCTTAAACATATCTCTTATCTAAACAAAATCTTTAAGGAACATTTTCTGGAGAGGAGAAAGTATATCATTGATAACAATTCCATTATAGGTCTTCATTTATTGACAGAAGACTGTAAAAGCTATCGGTAAACTTTTTGTAAAAAGAATCTTAGAAATATGCAGGTTAATGCTCACTGTTGCAGCAGTCAAGCACATGGTTTTTTGCAAGAGTGCATGTTACAGTGACTGCCTTTAGAGTTGTTAATTATGACTGACTGATGAAAATTTTTCAGTTTAGTTTTTGTTTAGTTTCATGTGGTAGCAGTAGAATACGACAGTCAAGTGGTGGAGATAGCTAAAAAATATTTTGGTTTGATAGTTGGACGTGGAGGTGTCGATGTTAAAGTTGCTGATGCGATCGAGTTTCTGAAGAGTATAACTGAAAATCAAGAAGGTTAGCAACGATTGTTATTTAAAAAACGGCATACCAACTCATCGCAAAATTGCACTTCGTTATCGGCACGAATTAATGCAGTTTTGGCGTTGGTTCTCTCTTGAGTTTACTGCTTTCTGTTGGTTCTTTTAAGGTTTTTTAGATACTAGCCAACTATTTGATGTTATTTTTGTTGACGTAGCAGGCGCGATGGACCAACAGGGAATGTGCTGTCCTCCATCAACTTTTGTAACTGAGGAAGCTTTATTTCTCATAAAAAATTCACTGTCAGCTTCGGGTAGGTTTTTAACTCGTCTCCTCTTAAAACGATTCAAGTTTTTGGGAGTTATTATAGAAACTTCCGTCTTTATTTTTAATTAGCTTTTTAACGGACTTCTTTTTGGGTGTGCTTTCGATGAACGCGGTTACTCGAGATGATGAAGTTTTACTTCAGCTGAAAAAACTTATCAAAACATTTTTCCCTAGCGTTTTTTCGGGTGGTAACGTCGACACAATCAATGAGGTTCATAATATTTTTTATTTCACAACTTTATTTTTTCAAATTGCTTACGAGGTGTTTGAATTTAATTTTTTAGGTTTTAATAGCTGTAAAGAAGAAACTTCATTTGGATTCTGCTAAGAAAGTAACACCTTTGTTCAATAATATAAGGAATGCAACGCGCTTTATTTCTAACGCTGTCGATCGTTTGAAAGCATTCAAAGACGATATTAAAGAACGCATCCAGTAGTAGAAGAGCATGGGATACTTTTTCAGCTAACCAGTGTAGACTTCAGTTTATTGTTGCATCGTTGTATTAAAAGGTTGTATGCAATGAATATGCTGCTCTGCTCAACAGAGTTTTCACTGTACTGTTCTTTTTGTGTAGAGTTGTTTATTTAAAAAGCTTCTATAATAAAGTTTGTTAATAACGTAGTTTTTTCTTTCTTCTTTGTTGCCATTGCAAGAAGTAATTGTGCAGGAAATTATTGTGACTTTTACTAGAGATGAATTTGAGCATAATATTTGCTATACGGATGCTGTTAGACGAAAGATGAGGTTATTATGTATTCGAGCTGCATCTTATTTCCGTTCTGGTTCTTGATTTGCTTTACGCCCTGGTTGAGATAGTCCGGCGGTTTAGTTTTTTGAAAACGGAAGTGGAAAAGGCTTTTACTTTGCTAGGATTTAGTATCATCAATTTCAGGAACTCCATCGTAGTAGGTGGTCGTCTTTGGGCGATTAGCAGTTGTTGAAAGGGTTAGGCTGTGCTGAGTTTTAATTGTTCCATAGACGTGTTGATTTTCTGATTCCTGTCTGCTATGACTTCTGATATGCAGGATCCGTCATCAAAAAGCAAGTTGCTTATTTTCTTTCAAAAGGCAGTTTTATTGTCTGTTTTATCTAGCTGTTTTGATAAAGGGGTATATTCGTTTGTTTGAAACAACCCGTTTAATACAGTTTTATAACAAAAGAAAGGATTTCAGTCGAGAGGCTTTTTTTGCGGCTTGTTTCAATTAGCGAAAACAAAAAATTAGAGGCATTTTTGGAGAAATCATTACTGGACGTAATTGAATCGATGAAATCAGGAGAGTCGGACGTTGTCGAAAAGGTTGGTTTTTTTCTATACCTTCCAACTCTTATGAATGCTGGGCCACTTGTGCTGCTGCCTTTCTAGATTCCCATCCAACAGCCCTCCAACTTTTCGCCTTAATTTGACCATTTTATTGCGCAAAATTTCATCTTGATAAAGTTTTTGTTATAATTTTGTGGAGTTAAATTATTTAAATGTTCAGAAAAAGGGTTTGGACGGGATTTGAAATGTCGTGGCTATTGGGAGCTGCTTATGATTTGAAGAAGCTGTTTAGTAATTGCTGTTTTAATTTCAGAGGAATCTTTTACATCTTTATAAGTCACTTTGATAAATTGTTAGTTTATTGCTAAGGTCTATTTTTTTCATTTTTTTAAGGGAATGGAGTTCCTGAATCATCTTAATCGGCGTATAAAGTCGGATGTCGAAATAAAGCTTCCAATGACAAAGCTACTGGATCATTTGTCTTCATCAGAAAGAAGTATTTTGACTACAGTAGGGCAAAATGATTCCTTACTAGATTGAAAAATTATTTTGAGCTATCCTTTCTTACTAATGTTAATAACTCTATTTTTTTTCAGAATTTGGTTATGGTTTATCTCAAAATGGGTATAATGAGGAGTGACGAAGAGGAGTGTGCCAAATTGCTGCCAAAATTTTTTGTGGCTATTAAAGAAAATTTGAGTGATGAGAAAAATTCTGAACAGTGAGTAAAAACTGTTATTTGCAGAGCTACCGTAGTTACTTAGGAAGCAGACAATTGCGTGATTTTACTTCAGAAAAAATCTTTTAGTTTGGTAGTGTACTTTTTAGAATATTTGTTTTTTCTGGACGGTGTTTGATACAAGCATCTACTATGCAGAAGGAAAAGTGGCCAGAAATGCCGGGTTTGGATGATAAAGCGTTTCGCTCAAAGCTGCTGTTTTTTTTTCAAAATGTTCTTGCATTCAAAGATGGTAGCAGGTAATTGTTTTGATTGTATCAGCTGCACTTCTGTGGTGGTCTTTTACCACTTAATAAGTGCATTTTGTTTTCTTCTTACAATACCTTGGAAAGGACACTTCTCTTGTTCGTAATTTATTATCTGTTTTTTTTTTTTTTTTTTTTTTTTTTATTTTTTT